ATTTTGTGTACTTCTTAGTGCACTGAGAATCGACAAACGAAAAGGGTTTCAGCTCTGAACATACGCAATCCAACCAGGCGTAGTAATTTTCAGCTTTCTTTGTAACTTTGGTAACAAAAACAAATCCAGCAAAGGCGTCAATTTGATTCTCCGACGGATATACTTCTTTCTGGTAATTCGGATGAGCAGACTTAACGTGATTTAGTAAGTTGGTATAACCCTTGTTTTTCGTCTGTTTGATAACTTTTCCACATACACATTTCCGTGTGTCATCGCTCAAGACAGCAAAATAATGGTTAACGATTCGCTTGCTGGAAGCAGAATTGGGCGGCATGACTTGCTGGAACCGCGTTGTAAAACAATCTGCTCAGCTCACTTTGTTTGCTCCTTTGTTTGCACTTTGTTTGGATTTCCACTTTTCCACCGCACAAAACATCTTTCTCTGAAATAACGGAAATGGCCTCTAATTTTTCGAATTAAAAATCCATTAATGCCATTTTTACTTAAAAAATCCATTAATGGCCGTTAATTTTTCCCCCCATTAATTTTTGAACAGCCTTGCTTAGACAGGACTGTTGGCGCAGAAACTACCAAAATGGCCCAGTTTTCGAGACAATTTTCTAGAACTCGAGAGTTTGGTGGATCAATTTAATCTAGAAGTCGTGGTTCTCGTATTTTTTTTACGATTTCTGAATTTTCTGTTCTGACCACGATTTTGTATTTCGTTTGTTTTTTTTTTGCTTTCTGCGCAACAGATCAGGAGTCAAAAGTGAACGGTTGAGGATGAAAAGTGTATCATCAAGGCAGACGTTATTCAAGCAATATCCCATCCGAAAATAGGCTTTTTACCGGCAAACTATAGTCTACCAGAGCCACTGAATAAACCCGTCAATTTTTGATTGAGTAATTAAGGGTGTTTAATTTTTAAATACCGATTTTTAACAGGTTCTTACTTGATTGAAAGTTAATCAGCTCTGATTACCCTTGCGATAAGCAAGGGTGTTGCAATCAGATACCGGACGTTTTTCCCATAAGTAACTTTGTTTACAGGACTCACTCCTGGGCTTTGTCCTCGGTGCAAATCCTACTATCCTCGTTGCAAATACTACTCTGCTGCAAATAATCAGCATGTTTTGAGTTCCTGGTGCCAATTTTTCTAATGCTCAATTTCAACACCATTGAGACTTCAATAAATTTAAAACAAAACTATATCTAGAGTATTTTCGGGTTTTTAGATATTTTTTTTCAAGAAAAGCGAGTAAATTCAAATATACAACTGAAAAAAAAAACAATCTCATCGTTTCAGTCGATTTAACTACTGTTTCAAAAGCTTTCACACGAATATTAAATAGTGTAATCTGGGAATTTCTTCTTCAAGATAGATACAGTTTTTGAGTGGTCGGCCTGTCCGAACCCCGTGAGTAGCCAAAGACGAAGAGAGTTTTCATCGTTGTTTCGCTCTATCCTTCTTCCACCAGGACAAGAGAGCGAAATGTCAGATAAGTTCACAAGATGTTCAGTGGTCCTCCATGGCTCTCAAAACAGGGGCATCAGCTTCCGTCGCAGATCGATTCCAGGATGCATCCTGCATTTCCTCTCTGCATTTCAATACCGAATCGCTGGCGTAGGAATGCAAAAGTGCGCGGCTCAGCAGAAAGCAATTTCATGCGGAGACCAATCGTGCGCAAGAAATCATAACTGCTTTTGGCAATTCCGCCGAGCGTCTCGATTGCAACGGGCTCGAGAATCGTGTGCTCAGGAAGGGCAGAGTAGTGGCCACGCTTGCGGTACTCAGCTTCGGTGGCAACTGCAGGTCCGTGACTGGTGGCCAGGCGTAAGTTGCAAATGGCGAGTCTGCGTGTGAATGTAAAGTCCCCTGCTATAACACGGCCTCGGCCCGTGGGAGCAGCGACACGCCATCGGGGCGTTTTCCGTAATCATGTAAAACTCCCCGAGGCTCTAGCATGGACGAAACACCAGCGGATTTGAGCGCTTCCTGTATCACTTCGTTGTAGGTCTGGTGGCGAATGTGTTTGCCTCTAATGTTTGAGCAGGTGAGTGCATGGTTCCCAAACTTGTCGTTGGTGGTGCCCCAAATGCAAGAGCATTCGGTGATAACAGGGGCACCCAACCGCCGACAGGCTGAGATCCAGAAGCAATCATGAGACATCCCAAGACCCAAGTTTGAAGAGGGCAGTGTATTCAGCCAGTCACTTGAACAAGTGCAGCTGAAGCCCTTGTACCTTGCCAACTCAGTGTCACTGGTTCGTTGGAGAAGGCGCATTTAAGTATGGCGATAGATCGGTTCCATCCATGACTTCGGTTTGGAGGTCTGCGTGTCTGGCGGCGTAGCATGCGATCGCTCTATCCATGGTGCTAGTGCATGATCATTAAGGAGTCGACCGATCATCGCACTGTTGGTCTTGACTGAGGATAGATAGGCAGAGCTGGAGAGGTCAATCGTGTTTTGTAGACCAAAGCCACCCATTTTGACTGCCAGAGACTTTTGTGCCCTTGTTATCTCATCCATGGCTAAATTCAGGATGCGCTCCGCTGAGGATCTCAGTTCCGAGTCAATCTGTGAAATGACATCTGGTGCAGAGAAAGTAGGGGCGGTGCACAGGATGTACATCAGTTTAGGCGCCGAGAAACAGTTTTTAAGCAGTAAAAAGGCCGTGTACCGCGGGAGTTAGTCTAGTATTTTGCAGAGCTCCTTGATCATGTTGCCGTTCTTTGTCAAAATAAATGGTAATGCAGACGAGCCAATGGCGGATCCTAGCAGTTTTGCATCTTCGGCAGCAATGAACTTGATTGCAGGGCACACATTTGAGAACCGGCGGAATATTTCGTGAAAGTTCTGCCCGATGACAGTCAGCTCAGATTTTGACGCATTCAGTTCGAGGCCAATTTTTTTTCGCTTGGTCCGGCAGTTTTGAGAGATCTTCGTGAACCACTTCCCAATGACCGCCCAAAAACACGTCATCCAATTAAGCTTGTTTGAATGTGGCTTGCATTTTCTCAAGGATATCCTGGATGCACAACGAGAAGCCGATGGATGAGATAGGGTCTCCTTGCTGGAATCCCTCATCAGAGCTCTAAAGATGACGGACCAAGCGAAAAGAATTGGCCTCGAACTGAATGCGTCAAATTGAACACATTTTGACGCATTCAAGGGTTACATCGTTCGAAGTCCTCGTCGCCAGGAAATTTTGGTTGTTCTTGAGCGTCATGCTGTTGAAACCCTGTACGTTCTGTGTCGAAAGTGGTACGAAGCTCAGCTTCGACTGTGTTTTAACTCTTTATTTTATTTGTGCCCGAAATTTTATTCAACTTACTGTTTTCGACTTATGTAATTAAAACTGCATACAGCAAAAAAATCTAGGTGGCAACTTCAGCCGACAAAACATAAGCAGAGTATTAATAAACCGATAATTTTTTTGAAAAAGAGAAATCAACTTTTTTAAGGGTTAGTCGCTTTTAATGGGTCGTTTAGATGGCGAATTGGATTTTTCTGCATTTGTCATGATAGCGTGATTACGCTCGCGATTAGCAAGCGTTATCAAATCGGAATTTGTATTTTTTTCTTTGTATCTTGAATCATAATGAGTTTCTAAGCGGTTCCGGTACACTTAGTCTGGAGGTAACGAAAACGCCTGGGCGGCGAAGGTTCTGCGTTCAAAGCTGACCAGGACCTGTTTTTTGTTAACGTGGATTTCTTCGTTTAAAAAAAAATGTCGTCTTGTTAATACTCTGCTTATGTTTTGTCGACTGAAGTTGCCACATCTTAGTTCTTTTTGCTGTACGCAGTTTTTTTGCAGTTGCTTTTTTGTTTTCGCTAATTCCTGCAATTGCTTATTCTACTAGCCTTGACTTCGTATATATTCCTTTTTTTTCATCATTTTCGCTCAAAAAAAATTTCGGCCTAAATGATTTCGGCTTGTATTTTATCGACCTACTCATCTAATTATAGGTCGCTCTAGGGAGCCATAATGTTTATGCCTTCCTCCGGGTTGCACAAAACGTTAAAATTCTCAGAATAGAATTTATAGTGCAAAGTTGTTCATGACAACATTTTTTTTGCTCAAAAATTGTTTTTAATTTTTATTAAACGCCTTGGAATGTGTTTCGGGACGTGTTTTTCTCAAAAAGAACATCATTCGAGACAAGAAAGCTACTTAGTTGGGGTTTTTTCGAAGTTTTTTCTCGTTTTCCTTGGACTTAGTAGCTCTCTTTTCTTGTCCTGTCTGCTACCGTACGATGCTATTTTTTTGGTATCGCAAGTCATGCGAAGCTCCGCTTTGCCTCTGTGTATAAGAAGTATCTCTTAAATTTGGAGTTTCAAAATCTTCTATGGCTCATTGGTTTTCCGAGTTAATCCGTCTTAGAAATTGTTCCAAATTGGTTGAAAGAAGCTTATTTGCCATATTTAATTTGTTACAAGGAGCGATATCTATCCTTTTGAACTTTATATGGCGAGTGGGGGGATGGTTTTCATAAAAGTTTTCAAATTTTAGAAAACAAATTTTTTCATTTTGTTTTATTTCAATTAAATTTCAATTAAAAATTATTTTATTGCACTTGGTTTCCGCTATTTATGTTTATTCAAAAAGCACGTGAGTTTTTTTTGGTTAGTTTTGGTAGATGTATTTTTGCATCAATCTAATTTTAATCAATCTAATTTTAAGCAAGTTGACTTTTGTTACTATGATTAACACTAGTTTCGTGTTTTCGTTTTAAGGCTTGAGATTTTTGTCCCACCCAGCCCCCTTGTCCCAATTTTTCCCATCCAAATAATAATTAGAAAACAACAGAAAACCTTCTTTCATGATCTTAAATGTTTTTGAGATCTTTGATATACGACATTTTACTTGACAATTAATGTGCCTCCGGCTAGATTTGAACTCTGATCTTAAGTTTAGTAAAATTTCAAATTGCATGGCTTCAAGTCTTCAAGTGGCCATGAACTTATAATCAAAATAATGTGAGTTTCTTTCATTTTCAGAGTTGAAAATGTTGAATCCAAGTGAGTTTGATGACTTTGATAACAGACTGCATGGACTGGATGATGGCTTCAGTCTGCTGTCCTTCTCTGACCTGAAAGGGTGAGGCTGCAAAGTGCCCCAGACTCAGCTGCTCGAGTATCTGGAGGTCAGTCTTACATAAAATCCTGGGCCTTTCCCATTATAGCCAAATAATCTGCTACTGGGGGTGAGGTAGACAGTATATTTTTTGTTACAAGGCTGGATGGGGGGCTATACCAGGAAGAATCCAACGTATTAAAGTCGCAAATTTCATTGCACAATTATTGTGCCTCTTCTTGCGAAGTGCAGCTTCGCCTTTGTGTCTAATTGAAGTTGCTTCTGCTTATTCTAATGTGACAAAATCGAGCACGATTGAAAGACGAAATGGCGCAACGGAGAATAAGTTTGTTGTATGAGCCAATAAGATCTGATAACGCTAAGATTAAATAAAGTCAGTGAAAGCTTAAAATTCATTGTTCGATTGGAGATCTTCTGTAATGAAAATGACCTCTACCTCTAGATCTTTGTTGGTCTAGTTGCCTGAAATTTTACTAGTCATCAAAATTTCGATCATGTAGGCAGTTTGATGCCTTTGTGAACCGATGTTAAATGATCTTCATATAATAACAGAAGATAAATCTGGTAATATAATTTGTGAATCAATCTTGCTTTCTGATTGTTGCTTTTGTGTATGTTCTAGGTACTTAACAAATCTCCCAGCGGGAAAACATCCTCCAAGCGAAAATCTAAAAATGGTAAAGTATTCTACACAAACGGAGTGGGAGGGGGAGGGAGTTCAAGCCATACTTCGTGTCACGAGGACTGTTGTGATGAACCATCGCCATGTAAGAGGCTGAACTCGAGGGGAGATTGGATCCCGGAGTCATTGTCTGCTAAACCAATCCTGGACGTAGGTGAGACTGAGTCTGACGCTAATTATATGATCGTTGTAGGTGAGTGTGATTTGCCCAATATCTAACGAAAGCTAACAAGGTTTTTATCGTTGGAAAAACCTATTTAAAATTTCTTTTGATAAAATTTAATGCTAAGTGGGATGTAATTGAGTTAGAAACGTGCAATTTTAAAGAGAGTTTCAGACACTGTCAAGATTTCATTTTTGGTTTCCTGGCATAGAAAAAAATGTATATTGTTTTCAGCTACGACTTAAATTTGTTTCTTCGTTTCATGTAGGCCTGGATTGTTCAGTTGTGCCAATACAGTTTGGAGGTCTGGCAATGGCCCAGACAACCGACTTCTTCTACCCCTTAGTTGACGACCCCTACTTGCAAGGAAAAATAGCATGTTCCAATGTGTTGAGTGATCTGTACTCCATTGGAGTGCCATACTGTGATAATATTCTGATGTTGTTGGGAATCCCGACTAAAATGACGACTAAAGAGAGAAGTGTGGTTATTCCGATGATGATGCGAGGCTTCAGGGTAATTGTTTTGAATCTAGGCAGATATGTATTTATGATGTTACCAGTTAAGCTCATTTTCCTCTCTTCAATTCCCCACCTGTAATTTTTTACAGGTCAACTTTTCTTTTGTCGTGCCCGATTGCTAGTAAAATTGGAATGCGAACTAATTGACATTACTAACATATTAGCTATCATTAGGAAAAAAAACTATCAATTGTTTTTTTTTGGCTGAAGGAACCAAGTTTCAGAGTGGTTAAAAACTTTTTCTTGAGGTGTGGAAATGAGTGTCTACGTTGAAGTGACGATAACATCAGAATTTGGTCTTTCAAAGATTAGGTTTTCGTCAAATGTAAATTATGAGGCGGATTATAATAGTGGCCGTTATGCTAAATGTTTGTCAATTTCAGTTTCATGTAATTCCGATTTTAAAACAATTTTAAAACAACGGTTGATAAAAGATTGTTATAGGATCAGGCAGCTCTGGCTGGCAGCCGTGTGACGGGAGGCCAGACTGTGTTGAACCCCTGGTGCATCATAGGCGGAGTAGCTTCCAGTGTAGTTGACCCACACAAAATTGTCATGTTAGTGCTCAATTTACGTTCTCAGAGATGGCATTTTTGAATTGCAATTTCAAGTAAAAGAAGTTCTATGGTCTGTTTGCTCAGAAATATTTCAAAATTAAACATGTTGACCTTAAATCGATTTCACTGTGCTCAATTGTTAGCAAAATCTTTGTTTCTACTGATCTATTCAAACGAGAGAAAGGTTTTTAGTTTTATTTGTGTTTAATAACCGGCTCATAAAAGCCTTTGAAAACGAGAATTTATACAATTTCAGGCCCCACAATGCGAAAGCGGGCGACGTGCTAGTGTTGACTAAACCGCTAGGAACGCAAGTGGCTGTGAATGCTAAGCAGTGGTTCATGGAGAAGAACAGTTTTTTCCTGGAGAAGATATCAGGTGCTGCAGATGGCTCTGGAAGTGAAGAGAGTGTGAATAGATTGTACAGAGATGCCAAGATGTCCATGACAGAACTTAATCAAGTATTTTTTTCTGGAGAAATATTGATTTAATAATATAAAAAGTACAGTCACACTTGAATTGAACAGATGCATTGAAGTAGTCTTGATATAGACTACCATTTATTTCACTATTTCATAATGTTAACTTGCATTGATGTTTTATATGAGCTGCAAAAACAATAAGTAGGTCATCAGATCTTCATGTCCATTCTTTCAATTTCAAAAAATTACAAACCAGTGTCCGTTTAGACGAAATTTGGATTACCTAAAAATGGCTTTTTTCGAAGTAACTTTTAGTGCCAGCTGTTATCAAGTTGGTAAAGCAGCTGCTATTACCATCTGTTTTTCCGTTTGTTGAAAAAGTTTGAAATGGAAGCTTGTTATGGTAATGTGAAATTTTTGGGTACCACGTTTTAGTAAGAGCTAATATATCTTAGTTCTATATTCATGTACCCGCCAATCTTTATACAAAAGTTGTTTTAGATTGCGAGCAAGTTAATGGTAGACTTCAACGCTAGAGCATGTACCGACATCACTGGCTTCGGACTCACGGGCCACGCGGACAACCTCTGCCAGGCTCAAAAGTCAGACCAGAAACTGCAGTTTGTTATCAACTCTTTACCTGTTCTGAAGGGGGCTGTGCAGGTTGACAGAGCACTCAGTGGGATGTTTAAACTGCTGGAGGGACATTCGGCAGAAACTTCGGGTACGTAGATTCGGGTTGATGTTCTTCTTTTTTTTTAAATTTCTGGGCCAGTATTTCTTAAAATTTCCAATTACGCCCGTTTTATTTTCGATTGAGACAGTAGTCATTACATAGGCAACACTCAATTTGCCTTCTCAATTTTCGATTTTTCTTTTGAAAATGTGCATTGACTCTTTTCCAACGGTATGTTGGCTATGTTTTCCAAATTAAGTAGCAAATAAAAAGTGCTCATTTATTTGGTGGCACTTAAGCATTTTTGTATCTGGTTTACCGCATAATTTTTCTTGAACTCTGTGGAACTAATAGAAATACCGGCTACTCACACGTGTGCCTTAATGTTCAGTTGGTCTCTTTCTACTTCACCCGACTGTCCACGACTTAAATAGTATCAGTGTGAGGGGTTTTGGACCCATTTATTTGGATTTTTTTTCATATTCTCCAAAACTTTAAATCTGAGATTAATGATTCAATCAAAAGAACGTGTTTTGTGGATCTTCACCGCTTAAGCTGCTGCGGCCTAATTTTTGTAGAAAATGAGTAATGGACTCAGAAAATGTTCACATTTTGAAATTTCGACCGGATTTTGGAATATTTTCTGTGCAAAATTTGAGGTTGGGCTTGGAGCAAACCAATTTGTCTTCTCTGCACAACATTCGTTGCCCTTATTTTCGATAAAAAGTTATCGCAACAGAAACTGCACAAAAATGGAATTTCCTTCGTTTTGGAAGTTTTCGGTCTTTTCTCGAAAACTAGACATCAAAATCAGGTTCAAGTTTTTAGCAGGAAGTAGGAATATTATTTGCATGAGCAGCTACGTCCTATTTGTTTGTTTGTAGATGGGACTTGTAAAAACTTTTTTTGTAAGTTAAGACATTTTTTCAGAGACTTTTAAACTACCGTACCGAATCTGAGATGAAGGATTCAATCGAATGAACGGGATCCAGGTAATTTCTCTGCTATGTTCTAAAGTTAGTAGACAAGCAATGTTGAATTTAAAAAAAGTCCATTTTTCGAAACTTTTTTGGAAATTTTGTCTTTTCTCGGAAAAAACACTGCCAAATCCAAGACTAAGGGTTCAATGGAAAGATTTTAAGCTTGGAAATTTTTCAAATTTCTCTACATAGCTTTTCGAAAGCCACTCTGCCAAATATAAGATTAAGGGTTCAATAAAAAATTTAGGTTGCCAGTGTAGCACCTGCATAAGCAAACTGATTTCATTTTGGTAGGGAATCCGCTATGGACTGAAGAAATTTTTGACCTTGTGACCCATTTTTGGACGTTCCCATTTTCCCATAAACAATCCTGCCAATTTCGAAATAAAAAAACTGCAGAAACGGGTGTTCTAATTTCCCCATCAAAAGCCTGTTTTCCGTATTTTTCCAGGAATCAGCTATGGACTTGTAAAACGTTAATTTTTTGTCCTTTTGACACATATCGAAAATTACGCAATACTCATCGAAGTAGTACATTAAAAATATCAAACAGGTACCTCCAGCTTTAGCTGGGCCTCTTGTTTTAACTATTGACGAGCGGCAATGACGCAGATGGCCGTTTAACCTCGACGTCTAAGGTTCGATTTTGACTCATAGCAGAAATTTAATTAAATTTACTTTTTCTTTTCTGTTTTTCACTTCTTGACTCTTTAGAGCTGCTTTTTGCCTTTTTCGTGTATGTGTTTCCAAAGTGCAGCTTCGCCGGTGTGTTAACTTGATAACTGGTGAGGTCTATGTGCCGGGCTGTCGTCTTTTTTCGCTTTTACTGAGCCAAAATAACAGGACTCTTATTTCTATTGATGTTTGTTAAAGATGTCTGATTTGTTTTTCATGCTTATTTGAAGCTGCAATAATTTTTCTTTCTTTACTTGCAATTAACAAGCGTTATCAGATCGGAATATATACTTTTTCGGGTTAGCATCTTGTCTAACAGAATTATTTGGTATCTTGGCTCCTAGTAATTCCAAAACTCCAAACGTCTCCGGCACACTGAGTCTGGAGGTAACGGCACACTTAGCTTGGTACGGAAAAGATCCTCTGTTCGAATCTGACCACCCCTTTTTTAAACGGGAAATTTTACATTTTTAATAATGATTTGCTGCTTAAGTTTTGTTGGCCAATTTGAATTTTTTGTTTAACGCACTTTTTTTGTAGTTGCGTGTATTGTTTTGATTAATCCTGCATTTTGTAATTTTACTGGCCTTGACTTTGTTTATTTTCCTTTCTACACTATCGTAAGCTTAGTGTAATATTACGAACCTTCTGTTTTTCTAACCTAAGTCGCAAATATTGGTGCCACTTATGGGGCACCTTTAAGCTTTTTGATAGCATGTGCTCTGACAATCGAATAGTAATTAAACAACACTCAATATATCTCGCATTTTTTGAAATGCATAATTTATACATAATTTTGCTTCATGCTTTCCGATTTGTTACATGCAAAATTAATGTGCTTGCCTTCAGTTTGTCAAAATACTACTTGAAAAATGGTTTCTATTTGTATTCGGTGCCCTTCTTGCTGAATAGCTTTGGCAATTTATTAGCATATGAAGCTGCTGTATTCTTGACTAGTGTTTGTCGGTTGTAATGCGTGCGTGGCTAGTGCGTGAGACTCAAAATCTCTTGATTGCAGTAGGTCGCAGATCGAATCTTATACTTAGACGAATTTTACTAATTCGAGGTTTATTTCTAGTTTTTCTTATTGCATTTTCTAGAGCTGCTTTTTGTCGCGTTCTCGCTAGTGTTTGCGAAACGAAGCTTCGCCTCTGTGTTTAAATAGGTGTCAACGTTTGAAGTGAAAGATACTCAGTTAGGACGTATGCTTTTTCACGTTTTTTGAAATTGTCTAAAAATTTAATCACTCCTATATTTGAGTTTTCGCGGTTTGACTTTTGATTTTTTCTAGTTTTTTTCTGTAATTCTTGAAGTTCGAAAAGCTTTGACGCGATATGTTTTTTCTTCCGAAATTCAAAAGTTGAAAAATGTTTTTCTAACAAACCGTTGGCTATGTTTTTTTTGGTCTTTTTGAGTTCATTGACAATTTTACAACTGTTTATTCAAAACTACAGGTGGACTCCTGATCTCCTTTCCCACCACTTCAGTGTCTGGCTTCATGTCTCAATTCAAAAGGCTCTCTGGACACATGTGCTGGATCGTAGGAACAGTTAGGAAATTCGAAGACAGCTACGACAGATACAATCTAAAGAACAACAAACCACCTCCTTATGTGGCTGTGGCGATGGAACAGCTCAAGGTTCATTTTTGAGTGTTAATGACGGAGTATATATTCACTTGTTGTGGTCATGTCGTTTTTTTGGTAAAATAAAGTCTGATTTATTTCTCGTATGTTTCTAAATGATCATTACTGGTACAAATGTTGCTCGGAGTGTTTTTTAAAAAACAATGGCAGTTCTTAGAGAATTTTGTTTTTCAAGTTTTTTGTTGAACGAAATTTATGCAGCCATTCAGTGCTACGACTCTGTTAATTAGTCTGTCTCAAATTTTTGTATTTTCTTGTTGATCTTATTCATAAACGGTGAACGTAATTCAGACTCTCATATAGGTCGTGATGATTTTTTCAGGAAAAGTCTTAAAATGCTGTAATACCTACAGAGGTGCATTCATACATATTAATGAATTTATGAATGCCCTTAGGTGTATGTGCTTTTTTGAATTCAATTCAAGTTCATTTGCCAAAAGATATTCGTAAATTGTTCTTGAATTTCGAAGAGGTTAAAGGCCACACATTTTTTTCTACTAAATTCGGAGGTTGAAGTTTTTTCAAAAAGCAGGTCGTTTTTTTTGCGTTTTGTGACTCTTTTCTTTGTCTGTTGGCAATGTTTGTATTATCAACTCATTTCATCTTTGCCTTTTTATTTTTTGAAATTAAATTTACAGGTTGTGGAGGTGAACTACGATTCCATTTTCAACACTGAACCAGGCAGAAAAGAGTGCACGTTAGGCTGTTTGCACCCTGAACTAGCAAACCCAAACTTCAACTCAGAAAAACACCTCAATGGCGAAGTCACAATGAAAGAAGAGGCCAATTCTAACAACTCAGGGAATATTTATGTTAAAAGCATGAAAACTGAAGGAGAAACTTCGGGCGTAGAAACCGTTATAACATCTGAAGGAGCAACACATAATGAATGAGTGTCGCAAAAAGGGTGTCTATTTGGTTGTCATGATCTTGTCCTCTTGTCAATTTCTGTATTTGTTGCCAAATTTTGGACTAGTTCTGACTTCAAAGTTTTGTCTTCTGAGAAAAACTTTTACTCGTAGTTGATCACAGAAGACGGAACTAGTCTACTTATTCATGAAATTATTTATGCCTTTTCCTTTTTATTTATTCAATCAATGACATCCTTTTCTTCCTTGTTTCGAAGTTAACAAGTGGCTGGTGAGAAGAACACAGATGTTTAAAGAATTGGTGTTAGTTTGAAGGCTGGCCATTTAGCGTACCAGTTGCTCATCATATCAAAATATAATCGAAAGTTTAGTTTGTCTCTTAGCATACTCTTATATAAGATAGTCACGTAGCAGATTCTTTCTTTCAGAGAGGAGTATGCTAGGCGACTGATATGCTAAGTGACCTGGCCCCGTTAGTTTTCGTTTTTTTTTTTTAAATTTAACCAGTATTCCACGTTAACTTCTTGAGCTAATTTCAGCCTATGGTTTTCTTGTCCTGCTTGTTTTATCGGTAACTGGATAATGATTAGCTTGTTTTATTGTATATGTATCTTGATTTCACATTTTGACTGCAGTTTCAATTGAGCAGCGTTGAATCTGTTCTCGTCATTAATGTTGAAAATTGTCATCATAAATTTTGTGTCCAATGCTGGAATAAATTGACATTGCTGACTTATGACGGACATTCTAGAAAGTTCTTGAAGGACACTGGATGTCCTGAATCCCAACTAGCGATGGAATGTTTCCTTGAGCTGTCACAATTTTCTAAGTTAGAATGAATTGATTAATACTGTCGTACATATCGATCAACTATATTTAATCTTCAGATCAGAAGTTTTTTTTGTGCTTTGAGCAATAAATATGAGTAGTTACTTTGTGTAAATACATTGTGAACAAAAAAAATCAGAACGGTTTTGCTCCTGAAAAGCAAATAAGAAGATTTCAACAATCATGAATTTGGTGACATTTAAAATCAGTGAGAATTTCAGCTGCTGGTAAAATCCACTTAATGTGTAACAAAAACACTGGTAAGTCCAATGATACATATGAATACATATTTATAATCAAATAGCACCGTTGATGACAGAGGGGGATTTAGGAGGGGGGACACTCACTTTATCAGGTACTCGACCCCTGATGATCTAAAGAGACACCTCTTTGGTCTAATTGTACGTCATCCATCTTTGGTCGATAAAACCTTAAATGTTCTCTAAAGTGAATTGTTACATGGAAAATACAAAATATTCTTATTATCTATCAGCGAGAATGCGTTAGAGAAGATAGACGACTATCGGCGTGCAATGTGCCCACTCAATTTCTTCCTTTCAATGATTATCAATTTACTCAAGCAAGATATTTTAATTGAGGAAGTATACAAGAGATGCTAATTTCAGCAAAAAATGCAAGATATCAGCAAGTCTTTGTCGAATTATACAGCAGTATATCTTTTGATGGGATGTCTAGTGAGTAATGGTGTCTAAGCATGTTTCTTTACTGTTATCAAATATTCAAACAAACACAAACAAATTATTGTTAAGTTTTCTTTTGTAAGGTTTATCTAGAAAACAGAATTTTCTAAGGCTCTTGATTTAAGGACAGGTTATTATTATAAAATCAATAGGCCTCGTTTTACTACCGGTGCAGAAAATTGCGGTTTTTTTGAATTTTTTTTTCAAACTAGCTAGAAAAAGTGAGAAATTCCGAAAAACTGCGATATCTCGAAATTTACGTTGTTTTGAAAAACCATGTCTTTGAGACGACTCGCAACGATCAACAGGTCATAGATCAGCATTTAATTCATGGCTTTTCCATTATTTAATTTGAAATTTTCCGGTCGAATTTTCTTTTAAGCTGTATAAATGAGACTAAACTCAGAGAAAGATATAAATCAAAAAGTTTTAGAAAAGCCTTAATTTTCTCGGCAAATTTGGTGTCTACAGCTTCTTCGAAAGAACTATCAAAAGGAAATCGGATTACACTAAAAATTGAACGTATTAATCATCAAAAGCAAAGTGAACCAGATCCGTGCTTCCCAGAATATAATTATCTTTACGGTTGCGGCGAGCAAGCGTTATCGAATCGGAATTGTAGACATTTTTCGGTTTTACAACTAGTTTAACAATATCAGTTGAAACACGTATGGGTGGGTACTCGCTGGGTGGATACTAAAATACTTTTAAATACGGTTGGGTGGCGTTACACAGTCAATTTTTTTCGGCTTAACTGGTGTCTGTTCAAAAATTGTCGGCTTTCTTTCCGCTTTTTAAAATTGTTCAGTTTCTATTCTGAATTTCAGATGTCCTGATTGAAGTCTTTGCCTAAAGTTCCTGTTCTATAAAATCAGGTATTAAAAAAATGTTTGGGATTGGGTTTTTTATTTTTTTGAGACGCTTTGGAAACCTTAACCACGTAAAAAGATTTTTTTTTCTCAAAAATCCTTGTACCGTTTTTCAAAAAAAGGAAAATCAATAGCAATATCACATGCAAGTTTGAGTGTCTGTGGACTCCCCTGTGGTGGTCTCTTTTTGCTCTACCACTCTGTCTTCAACCTTTGAAAAAGTCTGAGGGGGGAATATTTGACTGATATTGTTGATTTTTTTTTCGTTTTCTCAAAAATAGGTAGCAAAACAGTTTTGTTTCAATGAATACAGCGGTTTTGGTAAGCTCCCCTCCATATGCGGCTATGTAAAAACTTTTTTAACACCTAAGATTATGGCCATTAGAATAGTGATTTAAAAAAATTTTCACACAAAAGGCTATTATCCTCGGAGAAGTCAATTTGTTTATTTTTTGAGCCTTTTTTTTCTATTTTTTATGAATTTATTAAAAAATACCCTCCAATATCTGATATGCTAAGTTCAATCCAAAGAAGCAGTTCTGGAAAGCTCCTTTCCATATGCGATTATGCAAAAACTATTTTGATACTTAAAGGAAAACTTTTCTGTTAAACTACCCGGAAAACTAACCGGCCAAACCTGGGTTCAATCGAAATTTCATGTTGGGAAAATCTCTTCTGCTGAAGCGGCCACTCACAAGTTTTTCTTCTCAAAAAAGTCCCGTCCTCGCAAAAATCAGTATTTTTGATTTTGTGAGCATTTTCTTCTAAATTTTAGAAACTTTTTGAATTTTGTTAAAAAGTACCCTAACAATTCTGAGATGAAAAGTTCAATCGAAAAAAGCGGTTGCGCGAATTTTTCTTGCAGAAGCGGCTATATATTCTTCGTAGAAATGTTTTTCTCAAATTTTTACTCCTCTTTTAATTAAGTAGAGAAACAACTAAGGTTTGTTGCCAAATCCAATTTTCGAAATTACGCATTTAGTACCGCATCAGAATGAAAAATTCAGAAAGTATCAAACACGTATATCCAACTTTAGCTGGGCCCTAGGTGCCTTTCAACGAGTTATACTAAAATGTTGGTTCACCTAATTTTTTTCAACATTTTTCTTTTTTCATTTTTTAAAATTGTGTTATATCGCAAGTGGTGCGAAGCTCCGCTTCGCCTCTGTTCAATTTATGCAGAAAAACATTCCATTCTTTATTCAACATTGTTTTTGCCACATTAGAAGGCGTCAAACAAGTTTGACTTGAATCATGTAGCAGCAATGCTCCTCTTTTTCTAAACGAGAATTCTAAGTGGATGTTTGTACATTTTAGTAAAGTCATGCTAATATCAGTCAAGCTTTACGTTGTTAATTTTTCTGCATTTTAGTTTTCGAACTACTCGGAAAGTGTTTGAACATCTTTCGTAAAAAAGGAAGTTTGAAGATGTCAACTGTCTATTTTTTCTAATATCGTGATTGGTTGTGAGAAAGATCAATCAGAATGACACGACTAAAATTTGAAGGTTAAACACTGCAGGTTTTGTTAATTTTGAAATAAAAAACAAGAAAAGAAAAGAGGTTTTTGAAAAATTATATGCTTCTGGCCCAGCGACGGCCTCAATGATTCATCTTAGGCTTCTTTTCCAGCCGTCCGGTTTCTCGAATTTGATATTTCGTGCTTTTTTGGCGACAGCGAATGTGTTATAATCGGGATGTAGACTTTTTGAAACAACTTTGTTGCCTTCTCGACTTTTTTCTGGAAAAGTCCTAAAAGATGTTCACGCTCAAAGATGTTCACGCTGTTCGACTTTTGGTTTCTATTTAAGTTGAGTTCATTTCCTTTCTCAAAAGGAAGGCAAACTCCACTATCGAACAGAAAAAGTAACGGTCACGAAAAACATGATCAACTTCTAGTTTCATAATAAAGCCCTTCCAGTGGAGATTCGAACGAAAAAGCTAGCGAGCAGGCTTTTTTACCGGAGGTTGAGCCGTGAAACTTGAATGTGAGCCGAGAAAGCTTAGTTTTACTCCTGAGCCTGTTAAGCTTTTTTCGTGCCTTCTGTGTAATAAAAAAAACGTACTAAAAGTCTGACTGAAATTTTTTTTAAAAAAATTGATTGATTTTTTGAATGCTCCTTTCATTTTTCGGAGAAAACTGTTGAGTATATCTCACTTTCTAGACTTTTGTACTGGTCCTCTCATCACAACAGGCAAAAAAAACCACTAAATTTGAAGAAAAAGGAAACTTTTTTTTTAGTTTTGTTCTTATTTTGAGCGGAACTTTCTGTACTACTTGCTTAGCAACCGGCTACTGTTTTTTGTTGTTACTAACGCATAGTTACATGCTTTTTCCAATTTTTTGAGATATTCGAGATGACACAAAATTAAACATACGGAGTTAGATATGCGATCTTTATAAAGTCAATCAAGCTTTCGTCTGCCAACTCCAACATTTGTTCAAAGAGGTTTTGTCTCAATCAAAAGTTGAAGTTCGGCATGACATATTTTCATTGTTTGCAGTACGCTTGGCAACTCCGAATTACTAATCTCTGAATAATTATTCATGTTACGTGTACTCAGTTAACAATATCACCCATTCAAGTTATGGTCGAATACTTTTTCAGAACCTTTTAAATGCCTGATACTAAACTTGAAGAAAATATCATATCTGAGCAAGTGAAACGCTTGCAGAAAGTCTTAACGTTCCGAACAATTTCAAAACTAGTCAAGGAAGAGGAAGTCGAAAACGGACTGGCTTGTTTTGACGACCCAAATCCATTACACGAATTGCATAAGTATATACGAGAACAGTTCCCGGAAATATTTTCAACCCCAGAAAGAGTTAGCGTTGAGTTAATTAACGAAGGCAGTTTTCTGATTCACGTGAAAAAGAACAGCAATAAGAGTGAAAAATTGGATCGAAATGTAAATGAGCAAAACGAAACTGTTGAACAAAATGGTGAAATTGAGACTGAACAAAATGGTGAAATTGAGAGTGAACAGAAAGAGTCCGATTCGGCTAATTTGGATTCGGGCCCATTTCTGCTAATTGCTCACATGGATGTGGTTCCGACGGTTGATAAAGAGTGGAAACATCCGCCTTTTGAGGGAATAATTGAGGTTAGTAATATTTAAAACTTTAAGCTAAAAACTAAATTTGTTCTTGGTTAGAAAAGAAGTTGCTCAAATTTCGGACAACCGCTCAAAACCATTACGTCAAGATGTTTAAATACGTCCCAGTTCAAATTATAACTAATGAAAGTTAATTGTATTGAATCATTCGATTGGCCTGTGTTTAAATACAGGATGGCTATCTCTACGGGCGAGGTGCCTTAGACGATAAAGGAGCTCTAATGGCAATGCTAGAAGCTACCTCGTCGCTAATTCGAGACGAAAATTTTGTCTGCAAACGAGATTTTTACATTGCTTTAACTCATGACGAAGAAGTGAAAGGCAATTTAGGCGCCAAAAATGTGGCGCCCAAATTAGAGAAAGTTCTAGAAGGAAAGAAGCTTGATTTTATTCTTGATGAAGGATTAGTAGTTTTCGAGGATTTCAGACCGGGATTTCCTCCTATCGCGTTTGTCGCAATTTGCGAGAAAGGTCATTTAGATTTGAAGATAACTGTGAAAACCCCTGCGGGTCATTCATCTTTACCTCAGGCATCAACAGCAGTGACGAAAATGTGTGAAATAGTAACGAAGTTGAATAAGTTCAGTTTTCCGATTTATCTGAAGGGAACTCCAATGCATGGGTCGCTAAATGTGCTGTCGCCATTTTTCTCGGCAGCCCAAAGGACCTTGATAAACTCAATAGGCAGGGTTTTCCTCTTAAAACATTTAATAAGTAGAGTTTTTTAGAATAATTAAGATTCTAATGCCCGAGGCGAAAAAATAGAACAGAATAAACTAAAAAATCAGCACTTCGTTGTTTTTTTTTCAAAATCAAATGTCAAACCCAATTTGCACCCAAAAACTAACTTATGCCTGGAATGAATTTACCCAGTGCCTTAAAAAACAAGTTCTTACCCTAAAAGCTGACTAATTCATTTCATGAAATTTACTCGGTGTCAAAAAAAAACAAATATTTACCATAAAAACTGACTAACTCTCTCGGTATCAAAAAAAAAAACTGATAATTATCCTGAAAATGTCGCAAGGAGAACCCTGTCTCAGTATAGGTATGTCTGACACAATAATGAAGAAGATCATCAGTTCTGATCGGCTCTCAGCCACTCTGATGCAGACTACTAAAGTGGTGACTAAGATAGAAGGAGGAACTTCAGGCAATGTCATCCCCTCGGAGTGTTCTGCTAATGTCAATTTCAGGCTAGTGTTCTACTAGTTCGTTATTTAAATAGTTGACTATTAGATGCTCCTGGTGCAATTAGCTCAGAATGTCCCGACCACAAAATTATTTTTTCATTTATGCTCAGTATTAAAAAACGTTTTTTTTCTGCTGTCTTAGATATACCATGCTAAATGGAACTAGCAAATGGAAACAGATGCAAAACAGCTGAAATAACATAAAAACGGAAATAGTGACTCACAGCTCATCTCATCCGCCCCGCCGACCTTAGAGGTTAATTAATCTGATTAGCTAAAATTTAACATTCATTTGTAGCTTACCAACTTGAGAACACTGGGTGATTAAGATTTTTCCGCTGGGATTTTTTTCATTGTATTGAGTTATGATTCGGCTAAAAATTGTAAAACTTGAATAACTTAGAACTAAAGTTACAGAATCGAGAAGTCATATTCCCCCTTCAAAAAGGAATCAAAGGTATAAGGCATCACCCTACTGGTCCATAACAACGAATGCTGTAGAGGACTGGCATTATGGCATACAACCATGTTTCAGTGTATCGCATCCGAGTATATGGCAAGCAATTTGCAATGCACTGAAACATGATTGTATGCCATAATGCCAGTCCCAAAAATGAATGTAAAATTTTAGCTATTCAGATATTTAGTCCTTCCCAAAATTCATTTTTTTTGACGCATCGAATGGGCACCAATTTACTGAGAAGAAAAAATAACAAGCTCAAAACGAAAAAGAGCAGAAAAGAAAGTATGTCTACGAAGAAAAAAATGATTTGCATTTCTTTCTTGACTTGACGCACTGTCTTGACTCTTATTTGAGAAATGCTGTCTCTAGCAGTTTATTCCTCAAAGGATCACTCCTTTGGTGGAATGCTACGTTGGGTCTAGGGGCTGCAAACCCTTGAGCCGTTGCGTTGTTTGCCGATAATTTAATAAAAAATTTAGGAACTTTAGATGGTTCGACAAATCAGATAAATTTTACTTTGAAATGATCAGTATATGAATACAGCTTAGATAAGATCAGTTTTTCGGTCACAACCAAAATTTTTTCATGTTTCATTTAAATTTAGCCAATTAATCTAATATATGCATGAATTTTTTCCAGATCATTTTCAACTGTGGAAAAATCGGATCATTTTTGATGACTAATTTGAATCATGCCTGTCGGATTAATTTCAACTTCTTGTCAAAGACTAGACTATTGGCAAGGCCATTTCTGTTTAAATCTTAACCGCATTTAGTAGCGTGCTTGTTATTTTGTTTTGAATCGCAAAGCTTTTCACAATCAAAGATGTTTCCCGACGCTATAGTTCCGAATCCCTTTCAAGTATGACTCAGTTTGATTTTGGATCGTGTGCTTTCAGGGAAAGTCTATGCCTAATTTACGCTCATTTTTTTATTTCAATCTTCAAACCTAATTTTAATTTAAACTGAAACGAGACTTTTTATGTAATTGGATCCAAAATAAGAGCTTAGTTCGTAATTTTTACATTTTTTTAACTCTTTTATTGTGCGATCGCGTACTATTTATTCGGTTGTATTTTGATGATAAGGCAAAATGGAAGGACACTTCAACCATTATAGCTCAAAGAGTGGTATAACAATAGTTAAAGAGTAAGGCAATGTGGTTTTTTTCTAACAAAATTCCGAAATGTCTTTTGTTGCCTTTAATGAGCGTCATGTAGGTTCTCTCTTTTGTTGCCTTTAATGAGCGTCATGTTCTAAACGCGTGAATTAGGGATTATTTCTTTAGCTAATCGAAATTCAATTATTTTCGAGTGACTAAATGTGTCAAGTGAATTGAAAATTGGTCTCTCTAGCCTCAATTAGTACTCTTAATTGGAATACTTCTATGGTTGTAAAGGGTCTGAATTTGAAACTATTTATTGGCATTAAAAGATGGTTAAATTGTTTTGGTTTTTATCTTGGTACATGGCTGCAAAGTAGGGGATGTAAACATAGGATTTAAAATAACAAAGAGGAAAGAGTGGGACACCCAATGAACTGGTCTGTTTCAAAGTTCCAGACTCGTATGAAGTTTGTCTCGACACGTAGGAAAATTATTCAAACTATTCTTTATCGAATCGGAATCACAATTGAAAGGGCTAAAAACTCTTCAATCTATCACATTCAACTTAGTTTAGAGGAACCTGAAAAAGCAAGGAAGCTCAGCCAAGGTCATATTCCTTCCACCAGCGGATTTAAGGGGAGAGGGGCGGGTGGCCAGACGCCCACCACTAGGGTGTTTGACCCCCTGCCGATCTCAGGGGTTCCCTTTCTACTAATTTTGAACTATTTTTAGACTTCGGTTTTTGGCTGAAGGACCCTAACGTTTCGTTATAAACTAATATTGAGGGGAATGTTTTTTCGTCAAAGTTTTTCGAAAAGTGCCTATAAATTATTTTTGGCCTATGTTTTCAATATTTCACCTGCGGCGTGGAAAGTACGGTCAAAATAGCATGCTATTTGTAATTTGTGATACTATTATAGTGATTTGTGATAGCTCTGAAATTATTTTGAAAATCCGTCCCCCCTCGTGAAAAACCTATATCCGCCCCTGGTTCCTGCTAGCTCGAGAAAGATAAAAACAAAATGTGAAGCGCACTTTTTTCCGAAAAATGTAGAAAGGAAAATCCAGAAGAAGTTTGAACCAACTGATTTGTTATACTGTCGTTTGCATATGTTTTTATTTAATAATCGTTATTTAAGTTTTGCTTAACTATTGCGTATCTGCTAATTGTTGCGACTAGCTCATATGGTGCCTGTTTTCCAACAATCGAAACCATTATACTGTCAAGCAGAAAAGAGGTTTAAAAGCAACATGCAATAACTACCACAAGATCCGTTTCTGGCATAACATGTGTTTGTCCGGATGCAAAAATTTAAAGCTCAGTTCAGAAGTGGTATTCAAGGTATTCAATGGTATTAAAATTGTCAATGAAACAGTTGCTATGTTCAATCCTTTTCTTGGGTTTACCACTTAATGAGATTTCAAGTTTAATTTTAACCTTTTTGATTGCTTTGGTCGCCTCTGCGACAACTTGGAACAGCAGATAACTATAAACTGAAAGAAATTAACAAAATTTTGCTCGGCTATGGTCACGTTTGACAGCCACGAATGGTGTTTTGTGCATGCATGAACATTTGCCGAGATCATGTTTATGCCCCTCATGATAGTTAATTAACAGACAGTGGGGGATTACAGGGTAGAAATCCATATTAATAACTGATGATAGTCTAATTTTTCTAACATTTAGGTTGCACCCGAACGATACGTGTGACAGAGTGATGGAAACTGTGAAGAAGCTGGTAGGGTCAAATGAGGTCACAATTGAGAAGATGGACTCACGGGATCCTCCGAAGTGCAGCAGCACTGACTCAGTTGCATATGATAGAATAGTTAAAGCTGTGGGGGAAACATTTAAAGAGTGCGAGGTCAAGGTGGGTGTACTGAGATTGCGGATCCTTTCAACAGTCCGTCGTAAAAAAGGGGGAATCTTATAATAAGCTCAATGTTTCATTTGTTTTGAAGGCAGTTTATCCATATAATCGGTTCGTTTTTAATGTCTCAGAAATAGTTTTTTTTTGCGCTGATTGTATACAGTACATCGAAGGAACCACGAATGTTTGATCATATCAGAACAGTTTGCATCTTCTTTATGTTTGTTTTGCCCAAATTGATATCATCTTCACATAGAACAAGAAAATGTAACAAAACAACTAGCAGCGATCTCATTTTAAATTGTTAATTATATCTCGTTTCTAACTTAACCAATAAACACATGACTATGTACAAAAAAATTCCAAACTAGGACCTGAGTCAAAATTTCGAGCTGTTCCGTTTACTGCAGTCACGAATTTTCAATCGGTGTTTAACTCTTAACTTCAATCTTGCGTTTGATTTTGATTGATAGGTTCATCAAAAAAAAATCGTTTCAGCCTGTGGTTGCTCCGAATCTCCTGACTGGCCAAACAGACAGCAGACACTTCCAGCACTTAACTATAGATACATACAGATTCACGCCCTATTACATGAAGAGGGCAGACATACAGTCGATTCACGGACACAATGAGAGGATTGGAATAGACAATTACCACCAGGTTACCATTACTGATAGTGCAAAAGGGTTTTTCAGTATATTTTTTTTGTGTGTACTCGTCAAAACTTGTGTTATCATAAGACTTGACATTTTCCTGATGGATTTGACTAATTTCTGAGTTATATTTTTGTGTTCAGTTGGTTTGTACTGCCGAGTTTTTCTTTGGCAATTTTAGTAAGCATATTTTGCATCCGTATCTCACTATGCTATTTGAGCATGGATTCTCCTGCTTGGAATCTCGCTTTTATTAAAGGTTTTGGTTTTTTTATTTAAATCTTTTCGAGGCTTACTCGTGTGTTTTCTTGATCTTTTAGAGCTTCTGCCGTTTTTTGCTCGTGTTTGCGAAGTGCTACTTCGCCTCTGTGTGAAGCTCGCTTGATGCTCGACTTTAAGAAATAGTTGGCGAATTGAGCCACGCGTCTCAGATAATTAAATAATAGCGCAGAAGCTTCTTTGACTTCAAGTTTTGAAAAACTTCTCTTGGTTTTAAGGAAAAGACAGACTAAACAAAATATATACTCGTCGCGCTTTTCCCAACATTGATGACCTATTTCAAAAATGTCAGATTTGCAGGAAGTTAAAAAAATTTCACCGTAATTTGTTTTATGTAAACTCAGAAATTAAAAAAAGTACACAAAACAGTCTTTTTTGCTTTCTTTCCGTTCTTTAACATTTTTGCAACTCTCTGGCGACAGAGAGTTCCTTTCTAAGTTAAATTCAGGTGGGGTTTAGAGGTTTCCACGGATCTCAAGGTTCCTTTTTTTGGTTCTCACGCGGAGGGTATGGGGTGAGTGTTATTTCAGAATTGAGCTAACAGAAAGGGCTTCAGTACAAAAATGAGGTTACGATGAACTTTTTTTGCGCGCTGTGCGTACACTTTATCAGATCAAACTAAGTCATGTTTCATTTAATTGTTTCAGGTTATTGAATTCTTCACTCGGTTCATCAGAGAGACTGCTTTCGAGACGAGGAAAGAAGTTTCTAACCAATGAAATGAAAATTCAACTTCATTTGAGCTTGACTGAGTATTATGATGAATGCTCTTTTCCTACATAGTATTCCGTCTGACTGGATCCAACTCAATAATATCTATATACATAATTGCTAAATTTGATCGAATATTGTTTTATGTATTTCAAAAAGCGTTTTGATCAACTGAAGTTTTAAGTTTCGAAGCTCTGGGTTGGTAAAACCTTACTGCTTCCATGAAATCTAAATGGTGCTTAATTAGCTGGTTTATGATTATAATTTCTAGTTTTGTACGGACTAAATTCTTGAAATATTTAATTGATTTTTCATTGTTTTTTTTTGCTTTAGGTTACTGCTTGCTCACTGAAGAAACTGGAAAAGTACGCACGGTTATTTTTTCTCATTTTCCGGTTATCAAGCGAGACGTCCGGTATAATTAATTGAGTTCAACGTCAAACGAAAACATTTTAATTCCCGAATTTTTTTTCCAGAAGAGTTTTTTCCGGAACTGTTGCCGGCGTCGAGTAACTACGGTATGAACGTTGGATTTAGACTGAATTTTGGAGTCAGCTCCAGTTCGCTCGGACTTAAATAAATACCTCATTTTTGGTACCGGAATTGACCGGGTATAAGCACTGCTAGCGTGATAGCCCCAAAACTGTTTAGGTTACATTAGGAAATCTTTTCTACCCAGAAATGAGCTGATGTCATAATGAAATACTTAAACTACATCGATAACAAGATTCATACGGAATTAACACGATAAAATTTAAAAACCCAATTTCATAAGATGAAGTAAAAGATTATTCTGTTCAAACCTACGAATTGGAAACAGAATTTAAGAATGTTTACACACCACAGAAAACATCACCAGGATTTGTCTGGGAAATTATGAAACTCTAGAAGCTCGTAATTTTCGAGATATTGCAATTTAAAAAAAATACTGCTTCTCAAATTTGTTTTCCTAACGTGAAAACGCAAGTCAGTTACATGGCCGATTGCTCTATTAAGTTGTCCTTTCTAAGCCGCAGAGTTTTGTGCTATAGGATCTATGTAAAGTTGCTGCAAAAATTGTTTTTTCATTTGTTTTTTTTCTCAGCTTTAGCAAACGTTTCACTAAACTGGTAGTAACGCATTGGGACCTCTCTTATTTCGCTTTCTTTCCGCTGATCACAGAATTCTGGTTTGAGACAACTGAAGTTTCTTAATTTTTTTTTCTCAAATATTCATTTTATAGGGGCAGACACTTGGTGGATCCGAAGATCCTGTTGTCTGGTTATTTTATATCTATTTTTGTGACAAATTTTTAATTTGAGAAACATGTTCTTTCTTTTATAGTATACGTCTAATTCCAAAGTAAAGTAGTTAATGTACGACGAGCGCATGGTTTCTTCGAAGTGTTTTACCAAATTTATTTTCTTGTTCAACGTTATAAACTAATATTGAGGGGAATGTTTTTTCGTCAAAGTTTTTCGAAAAGTGCCTATAACTTATTTTTGGCCTATGTTTTCAATATTTCACCTGCGGCGTGGAAAGTACGGTCAAAATAGCATGCTATTTGTAATTTGTGATACTATTATAGTGATTTGTGATAGCTCTGAAATTATTTTGAAAATCCGTCCCCCCTCGTGAAAAACCTATATCCGCCCCTGGTTCCTGCTAGCTCGAGAAAGATAAAAACAAAATGTGAAGCGCACTTTTTTCCGAAAAATGTAGAAAGGAAAATCCAGAAGAAGTTTGAACCAACTGATTTGTTATACTGTCGTTTGCATATGTTTTTATTTAATAATCGTTATTTAAGTTTTGCTTAACTATTGCGTATCTGCTAATTGTTGCGACTAGCTCATATGGTGCCTGTTTTCCAACAATCGAAACCATTATACTGTCAAGCAGAAAAGAGGTTTAAAAGCAACATGCAATAACTACCACAAGATCCGTTTCTGGCATAACATGTGTTTGTCCGGATGCAAAAATTTAAAGCTCAGTTCAGAAGTGGTATTCAAGGTATTCAATGGTATTAAAATTGTCAATGAAACAGTTGCTATGTTCAATCCTTTTCTTGGGTTTACCACTTAATGAGATTTCAAGTTTAATTTTAACCTTTTTGATTGCTTTGGTCGCCTCTGCGACAACTTGGAACAGCAGATAACTATAAACTGAAAGAAATTAACAAAATTTTGCTCGGCTATGGTCACGTTTGACAGCCACGAATGGTGTTTTGTGCATGCATGAACATTTGCCGAGATCATGTTTATGCCCCTCATGATAGTTAATTAACAGACAGTGGGGGATTACAGGGTAGAAATCCATATTAATAACTGATGATAGTCTAATTTTTCTAACATTTAGGTTGCACCCGAACGATACGTGTGACAGAGTGATGGAAACTGTGAAGAAGCTGGTAGGGTCAAATGAGGTCACAATTGAGAAGATGGACTCACGGGATCCTCCGAAGTGCAGCAGCACTGACTCAGTTGCATATGATAGAATAGTTAAAGCTGTGGGGGAAACATTTAAAGAGTGCGAGGTCAAGGTGGGTGTACTGAGATTGCGGATCCTTTCAACAGTCCGTCGTAAAAAAGGGGGAATCTTATAATAAGCTCAATGTTTCATTTGTTTTGAAGGCAGTTTATCCATATAATCGGTTCGTTTTTAATGTCTCAGAAATAGTTTTTTTTGCGCTGATTGTATACAGTACATCGAAGGAACCACGAATGTTTGATCATATCAGAACAGTTTGCATCTTCTTTATGTTTGTTTTGCCCAAATTGATATCATCTTCACATGGAACAAGAAAATGTAACAAAACAACTAGCAGCGATCTCATTTTAAATTGTTAATTATATCTCGTTTCTAACTTAACCAATAAACACATGACTATGTACAAAAAAATTCCAAACTAGGACCTGAGTCAAAATTTCGAGCTGTTCCGTTTACTGCAGTCACGAATTTTCAATCGGTGTTTAACTCTTAACTTCAATCTTGCGTTTGATTTTGATTGATAGGTTCATCAAAAAAAAAATCGTTTCAGCCTGTGGTTGCTCCGAATCTCCTGACTGGCCAAACAGACAGCAGACACTTCCAGCACTTAACTATAGATACATACAGATTCACGCCCTATTACATGAAGAGGGCAGACATACAGTCGATTCACGGACACAATGAGAGGATTGGAATAGACAATTACCACCAGGTTACCATTACTGATAGTGCAAAAGGGTTTTTCAGTATATTTTTTTTGTGTTTACTCGTCAAAACTTGTGTTATCATAAGACTTGACATTTTCCTGATGGATTTGACTAATTTCTGAGTTATATTTTTGTGTTCAGTTGGTTTGTACTGCCGAGTTTTTCTTTGGCAATTTTAGTAAGCATATTTTGCATCCGTATCTCACTATGCTATTTGAGCATGGATTCTCCTGCTTGGAATCTCGCTTTTATTAAAGGTTTTGGTTTTTTTATTTAAATCTTTTCGAGGCTTACTCGTGTGTTTTCTTGATCTTTTAGAGCTTCTGCCGTTTTTTGCTCGTGTTTGCGAAGTGCTACTTCGCCTCTGTGTGAAGCTCGCTTGATGCTCGACTTTAAGAAATAGTTGGCGAATTGAGCCACGCGTCTCAGATAATTAAATAATAGCGCAGAAGCTTCTTTGACTTCAAGTTTTGAAAAACTTCTCTTGGTTTTAAGGAAAAGACAGACTAAACAAAATATATACTCGTCGCGCTTTTCCCAACATTGATGACCTATTTCAAAAATGTCAGATTTGCAGGAAGTTAAAAAAATTTCACCGTAATTTGTTTTGTTATGTAAACTCAGAAATTAAAAAAAGTACACAAAACAGTCTTTTTTGCTTTCTTTCCGTTCTTTAACATTTTTGCAACTCTCTGGCGACAGAGAGTTCCTTTCTAAGTTAAATTCAGGTGGGGTTTAGAGGTTTCCACGGATCTCAAGGTTCCTTTTTTTGGTTCTCACGCGGAGGGTATGGGGTGAGTGTTATTTCAGAATTGAGCTAACAGAAAAGGCTTCAGTACAAAAATGAGGTTACGATGAACTTTTTTTGCGCGCTGTGCGTACACTTTATCAGATCAAACTAAGTCATGTTTCATTTAATTGTTTCAGGTTATTGAATTCTTCACTCGGTTCATCAGAGAGACTGCTTTCGAGACGAGGAAAGAAGTTTCTAACCAATGAAATGAAAATTCAACTTCATTTGAGCTTGACTGAGTATTATGATGAATGCTCTTTTCCTACATAGTATTCCGTCTGACTGGATCCAACTCAATAATATCTATATACATAATTGCTAAATTTGATCGAATATTGTTTTATGTATTTCAAAAAGCGTTTTGATCAACTGAAGTTTTAAGTTTCGAAGCTCTGGGTTGGTAAAACCTTACTGCTTCCATGAAATCTAAATGGTGCTTAATTAGCTGGTTTATGATTATAATTTCTAGTTTTGTACGGACTAAATTCTTGAAATATTTAATTGATTTTTCATTGTTTTTTTTTGCTTTAGGTTACTGCTTGCTCACTGAAGAAACTGGAAAAGAACGCACGGTTATTTTTTCTCATTTTCCGGTTATCAAGCGAGACGTCCGGTATAATTAATTGAGTTCAACGTCAAACGAAAACATTTTAATTCCCGAATTTTTTTTCCAGAAGAGTTTTTTCCGGAACTGTTGCCGGCGTCGAGTAACTACGGTATGAACGTTGGATTAAGACTGAATTTTGGAGTCAGCTCCAGTTCGCTCGGACTTAAATAAATACCTCATTTTTGGTACCGGAATTGACCGGGTATAAGCACTGCTAGCGTGATAGCCCCAAAACTGTTTAGGTTACATTAGGAAATCTTTTCTACCCAGAAATGAGCTGATGTCATAATGAAATACTTAAACTACATCGATAACAAGATTCATACGGAATTAACACGATAAAATTTAAAAACCCAATTTCATAAGATGAAGTAAAAGATTATTCTGTTCAAACCTACGAATTGGAAACAGAATTTAAGAATGTTTACACACCACAGAAAACATCACCAGGATTTGTCTGGGAAATTATGAAACTCTAGAAGCTCGTAATTTTCGAGATATTGCAATTTAAAAAAAATACTGCTTCTCAAATTTGTTTTCCTAACGTGAAAACGCAAGTCAGTTACATGGCCGATTGCTCTATTAAGTTGTCCTTTCTAAGCCGCAGAGTTTTGTGCTATAGGATCTATGTAAAGTTGCTGCAAAAATTGTTTTTTCATTTGTTTTTTTTTCTCAGCTTTAGCAAACGTTTCACTAAACTGGTAGTAACGCATTGGGACCTCTCTTATTTCGCTTTCTTTCCGCTGATCACAGAATTCTGGTTTGAGACAACTGAAGTTTCTTAATTTTTTTTTCTCAAATATTCATTTTATAGGGGCAGACACTTGGTGGATCCGAAGATCCTGTTGTCTGGTTATTTTATATCTATTTTTGTGACAAATTTTTAATTTGAGAAACAAGTTCTTTCTTTTATAGTATACGTCTAATTCCAAAGTAAAGTAGTTAATGTACGACGAGCGCAGGGTTTCTTCGAAGTGTTTTACCAAATTTATTTTCTTGTTCAAAATTGATTTTCTGAATTCGTCATGAACACTTCATCTTGTCATGCCAATAAGTATCAATGAACGAAAAAAAAACAATTGTTTGCGTTGTGCTGTTTTTTAGCTTTTTAATAGGAGAAAACGAAAGCAAAAAGGAATACATGAATATCCAGTTACTGTGCTACTAGTACTGAAGTTTCAGAGCACTTAAAAAATATATGTTCAAAAATTGCTCAATTTCTGTAAATTTTGAAAATTAGTGTGGGTAAGAACAAGACCAAATTTATTCTAGAAATTCTTACGTGCTTCAGTAAACTACAATTAATGTGGCAGCTCATAACAAACTTGAACAGCAAAGTTTTTCCGAAAAAATGAAAAAAATTTGTTTTACAAATTTGCATTTTTGAAAGCAATTTAAATAATTGAAAAAATTCGTGCTCAGAGAAAGCTACGTAAAACTTCAAAAACCGCTCATATTTGCTAAAAATTATTCATAGCTTAATGCAAGCTTAGCGTTCGCCACTCATTGAAAATTGAAAAAAAAAGAATTTGGAAACGTTTTCACACGACAGGAGAGCTTATACTTTTAATGCAGCTCAAGTCACTACTGTAAGAATTATAATATTTCTATTATAACACTGTAAGAATTACAATCTGCATTTGCTAATCTATTGCCATACCTAAATTTGTGTGAAAAAAAGGTAATTCAAAAACAGAGCTATAACAACGTCCCTTCTCATTCCAGTGGTCGAAATGGAGCCACTAACTGCAAATTTTTCATAGATTTTCGAAAACTTCGAAAAGTCTACTATTGTTATATAAGTTCTGAAAAAAAAATAATTAAACTAGTGGAATATTTTATCACGCAGCATTTAACTACTCACAATAAATAAACATTATAAAAAAATGGAAGTTCAGGTGCAACAAATCACGCCCACTGAAAAAGCCAAATACAAGGAAAGTTGCGGGGGAATTTGAAAACTTTTATACACAACACATAAAATTGTATAGATTTTTAAGGCAGTTCAAGTCACCCCTTAAGTGTTGAAGTTTTGCAATCAATTTTTGTTGGATACTTTTTTGTGACATTTTATTTTGGGTGAAAAAAAATCATTTAAAAACAAAACTGGAAAAGTTATAGTTGAATCAACCCAAAAAAATTGAAAGGAGCCTTCGGGAAAAATTCTCCATGTAAGTAAAAAACTGGAAAACTTATCGCAGATGAGTGTTTTTTTTGTGATTATAAATACTCTTGTGATAGGCAAACTTGTTGCATCTGGGTACCAGACTTTTCTCCGTGAAGAATTTTAATCACAAAACTGTCAAAACTAGAAATGATATTTTAAATGACGAAAGATCAAAATATAAAAATGTTCATGATTTAAACTGCTAATGTATCAGCCTGGTTAGTGCACTGAATGCAAATATGCTGCGGGTGCTTGTTAAGATACCTTTCTGAGTATATTCTTTCGCAGCCGAAAAAAGCTGGAAGGTGTTTGGCGCTGGGGTTCAGAAGTCGGCGCTAGTTCTGCCATTTTTTTCTTTCAATTCTTCTTGAAACCATGTAGGATAAGTTGTGCTGATTCAAATATTTTTGAAGCAATTCAAATCCATCTACAGCTCTCTTTGAAAAAAAAAACAAGAAATGTTTGCTCCTGTTTTTGTTTCTCAGTTTTTCCATTTAAAGCTTTTCAATCATTATTTAGTAAATTTTTTTCGACGATTTTGTTCAATAATTCTAGAGAAGTTTCCCGTTTTGAAAAGTCACCTTAAGTTAAATTCTGCTGTTTTTTTTTAAATTTGCTTGCGTTCTTTTGTTTGAAATCTTTAGATATTATCTGTATTTGTAAGTTTTTTTGTGTTTACCATGAAAATTATGTCAGAAACTGATACTGGCTTTTAATTTTTGCTTCATATCTTGAAAAATTAATGCCAAAAATTGTGATTTTTTTCCATTTCCACCCATTTTTTGTTATTTTCGATTTTTTTTCTTATTCTAATCCATTTTTTGGGAGTTTTTTGTGGGTCAAATAATTAATTATTTGAGCTGATTTGCCTTGGCTCTTGTTGAATTTAAAACAAAGCTGTCCAATTTGTTTTTCGTAAGTTTATCTCATTCAAAAAAAAACAGATAATAAGTATTTCAACAAGTTTCATTATAATGCTCCGATTACAAATTTTTTTGCTTCCAACCCAAAGAGACTTGACTTGTTTCCAAGATACAAAAAAAGTGGTCGAATTTTTACAAAAACCTAATGTAACTAAAATTTAATCACTGTCAATGAAATGCTGCAGCTGGTTAAAACATCCGCCTGCAACCTTTGGTCTCTAATTACCTAGAAAAAGTGACTAACTTTGTTTATCATAAAAGTTTTGAGCGGTAGGATTACCGACGAGAAGGCGCTTGGAATTAATTGCAAAACGAATTTAAATTGGGAATATGGTAATTAATTTTGTTGCGCAGTACCTGTAATTGTAGATATTTCTAGAATTAAAACAGAAAAAAATACAAAGATAGCCAGTTCCTGTGCAAGTAGCACGGAAGTTTCAGAGCATACTAATGAAAAAATTGTTCGACAAATTTTCATTTTTCGTCAATTTCGAAAAAGAGTAAAAGTATAAAAAAAACCAAGTGTAGCCTAGATATTTTTACGAGCTTCAGAAAACTTCAGTCACTGTGGCATCTCATAACAAATTGAACTGCAAAGTTTATCCCGGAAATTTAAAAAAGGTTTTTGTTTTTACAATTTATTTTTTTGAAAGCGATTTGAAAACTAGAAAATTTTGTGTTCGGAAAAGGCTGAGTCAAGCTTCAAAAACAGCTCTATTTTTCTAAAGTTCATTTATAGCCTAACGTACTATAGCGCTCTCTCTGCTTTGGAAATTGGGGAAAAAACGAAAGTTTGGAAATGTTTTCAAACGACACAGGAAACTGTTAAGAATTCTAATGCAGTTCAAGTTACCACTGTAAGAGTTATAAAATTGCAATCAACTTTCATGTGATAGTTTTTTGTGATACCTATTTTGATTTGAATAAACGTGATATAAACCAAAAATTATAACCCGGTAAATAACGTCTCTTTTCATTTCAGTCCTCGGAAAAAAACCAACAGCGAATTTTTCATAAGTATTTAAAACTTCGAATTGTCTACCATTGTTTTACGAATTGTCTACCATTGCTTTATAAATTATGAAAATATTACATAAACTAGTTGAAACTTTCTATGGGCAGCAATTAACTACTCAAAAAAATAATAACGGTACTAATAAGAATGATATTCAGGTGCAGCAAATCACAGCCATTAAAAGAGCCCAATACAAGGAAAGTTGCCCAATAGGTAATTTTTTTTGCTTTTGAAGTTTATTTGAACATTCTATCTTAGTCATTTTAACTTCACTGCTGGGCTGAAACCCAAGAATGAACATATCTTGCAAAAGCGTTCATCATGCTGTCCGTTCTTTACAAATGAAACGTGATTTTTTTAACCAACTCGGACCCTTTAGAAGAAAAATTTCATTAAACGCTTGCTCTGCGTCATTACTATCTTTTATTGGCAACAAAAAACAGAAAGATGAAGATTTTTATCTGGAAACGGTGCTCCGTGTCAGTAGATAACTGGGAAACCTTTCACCAGTTAGTTTTTTAAGTGCTTATGAACAAGCTTGTGATGAACAAGCTTGTTGCAACCGGATTCAGTTTTTTTCCCGTAAAGATTTTTCTTCACAAAACGGTCGAAAGTAGAAATAGTAAATTTTAAAATGATTAAACTGCCGATGAATTATGCGCTAGATGCATGTATGCTCTGGTTTCATAACAAAAAAAGTTTCAAAAAAAGTGTGCAGAAATGGAAAGCGAAATCGAAGTTTTATTTTTTCAAGATATGCAGC